TGGCCATCTGCAGATTCCTGGGTCATTGGCCCTTGTTCCTCAGCATTCCTTTAGCACTTGGCTCGCCATGAGCCTCTCCTTGCGGCTCCCACGTCATGGGTGGGGAATTTGATATCCCTCTGGGGGTCTCCCAGTGCCTCAGCCTCACAGCTCCCTGGCTGCCTCTCTCCCCACGAGCTTGTCTGTCTTCCCGTCCGCTGGCTGCCCCCATGGTCAAACACTTGACCTTACTGTCAGCATCCCCTGGTCGGTCCACCAGCCCTGATTGTCAGCTCCTTTTCTCTCCACCCCAGCAGCCCTTCAGCTCCTTTGAGACTTAATTGTTCCTACCTGCTTTCTACCTGCTTTCTAGCTCTTTCTACCCTGCCCTACTAGGGCTCTGCTGCTTCACGTTCTCTTACTCTGCCTAGGGCGCCTGGTCCAGCATTAACCCCGCCTCGCATAGATCGGAGCTCCCATTCCCGATCCTTCCTTGTCTTCCTCTGGCACTTTTTTTTTTTTTCTTTTTTTTTTCTGAGACGGAGTCTCTTTCTGTCTCCCAGGCTGGTGCAGCGGAGAGATCTCGGCTCACTGCAACCTCTTCTTCCTGGGTTCCAGCAATTCTCATGCCTCAGCCTCCCAAGTAGCTGGGACTACAGGTGTGTGCCACCACTCACAGTTAATTGTTGTGTTTTTTGTAGAGATGGGATTTCACCATGTTGGCCAGGCTGCTCTTGAACTCCTGACCTCAAGTGATCTGCCTACCTCAGCCTCCCAAAGTGCTGGGATTGCAGGCGTGAGCCGCTGCACCTGGCTCCCTGGCAAATTTTAATGCTAGTTAAATTTAAGTCTCCACCTACCCTAGCCCTGCTCGGAGTGGCTAAATATGGCTGTGGGGAGGGGGGACAATGCAAATAACTGGTCTGTCTTAAAATTCACATCAGCCGCTGACTATTTCCATGTTCCCTTCTTCTTGAATGTCCAATGCCGTCCTCACTCCCCCTCGTTACTTCCTGTTACACTGAGAATGAGAAGGAAGAAATACATCAAAAGACACTGAAATTGATAAATGAATGAAATATTTAGTAGGGATTTAAAAAGAGTTAAATAGGGGAAATATAAGGTAGGAAATGAGTTAAAAGAATCTCATAATTCTTCATAATAAAGAATAAATAATTTCAGCATTTAGTCAAGTTTACATTTTTATATATATATATATGTATATATATATGTATATATATGTATATATATATATGTGTATATACATATATATATATATGTATATATATATGAAAAAGGTAGTGCATGTGAGTGGTTAGAAAGTCCCGAGGGAAGTGAAAGGCAGAAAAAGCAGAGAAGCATACCTCCTCAGGTTCCCAAAGGAAGCAACGCTTGTCCTTGTCGGTGACCTCTGCCTCAAAAATTGTCATTCACATCACCAGCATTGTCGTATTTTGTGTGTGTGTGTGTGTGTGTGTGTGTGTGTGTTCACATCACCAGCATTGGTGTATTGTGTGTGTGTGTGTGTGTGTGTGTGTGTGTATTTTTAATTTTTTTTTTTTAATTTTGAGATGGAGTCTTGCTTTGTTGCCAGGCTGAAGTGCAGTGGCGCAATCATGGCTCACTGCAACCTCTGCCTCCTGGATTCAAGCAATTCTCCTGCCTCAGCCTCTGGAGTAGCTGAGATTACAGGTGCGCACCACCACGCCCGGCTAATTTTTGTATTTTTAGTAGAGACGGTTTCACCATGTTGGCCAGGACAGTCTTGAACTCTTGACCTTGTGATCTTCCCTCCTTGGCCTCCCACGTGCTGGGATTACAGGAGTGAGCCACTGCACTGGGCCTATGTATATATTTTTAAGAGAATTACACAGAAGGGATTGTTGTTACATAACACTGCTATGTCCTCTTTTTTTACTTAGTGATTCATAGACATTTAAGTAGATTTGTTGAAGTGAAAAGATCTCTCTCACTCACTGAGTTTTTTATTCAGCAAAAGTTATGTGCCCATTTTGGAATTACGTGAAATGATCTTAACAAAATTATCATGAAAAGCATACATTGCTACTTTTAAAAATTAACTTCATTTTAAAGTCAATTTTGTTTCTTTGTAGACCCCAAAAAAAAAAAAAACTTGAAGATATCCTTTATTTTCAATTTTTAAAGGGCTTGCATTTTTTAGGCTTTCTGATTTTCTTTATAGCCTTAAATAAATGTCTTTAAGTTTTTAAATTTAAATTATTTATGGTTATTAAAGAAAGTGTGGAAAACTGTGAAATTTGAAAAAAATAAAATTATAACTCTACACTAGGAGACAACCATTGTTAACTTGTTCTTGTTTTCTTATGTTTTCTGTTCATATAGATGTGTTTGTATTGTAGAAACAATTATTTATGTATCTATAACGTATATGTGACATATACAAATACATTTGAGACCATTCTGTATCCATAGATTCATATTCTACTTTTAAAAACCTTAGGTTGCATTTGGCTGGTATGGTGGCTCACACCTGTAATCCTGGCACTTTGGGAGGGCAAGGCGGGTAGATCACGAGGTCAAAAGATCGAGACCAACCTGGCCATCATGACGAAACTCCATGTCTACTAAAAATACAAATATTAGCTGGGCATGGTGACGCATGCCTGTAGTCCCAGCTACTTGGGAGGATGAGGCTGGAGAATTGTTGGAACCTGGGAGGCAGAGGTTGCAGTGAGCCAAGATCGTGCCACAGCACTCGAGCCTGGTGACAGAGTGAGACTCTCTCTCTCTCAAAAAAAAAAAAAAAAATTAGGTTGCATTTAGGTATTTTCCCATAACTTTAAAAAATTCCATTTAAAAACATTTTAAAATTTAATTTTAAATTGGCAAATAAGAATTATATACATTTATTGTGTATAACAGATTGTTTTGAAATATGTATACATTGTGGAATGGCTAAATTGAGCTAATAAATGTATCTGTTACCTCACATCCTTGTTTTTGTGATGAGAAAACTTGAAATCTACTATTACCAATTTTCAAGACTACAGTTTTTATTAACTATACTCACTGTGTACACAGGATCTCTTGATACCTATTCTATGTAATCAGAATTTTGTATCCTTTGACCAATGTCTTCCCCTGACCCCCAGTCCCTGGTAACCACCATCTCTTCTCCACTCAGACTTCACCTGTGTTAGTTCCCACCTGTGAGTGAGATCGCATGACGTTTGTCTTTCTGTGCCGGGCACATTTCCTTTAACATAACGTCCTGTAGGTTCATCCATGTTGCCGCTGATGACAGGTTTTCCTTTGTGTATATTTGCCACGTCTGTGAGATCCATTCCTCGTTGGTGGACAGTTGAGTTGATTCTGTGTCTTGGCTGTGGTGAAGAAAGCTGCCGTGAACGTGGGAGTGTAGACATTTCAACATCCTGATTTTACTTCCTTTGGAAAAACATATGTATGTATTTCAGTAGTTGAATTCCTTGATCATGTGGTACTTCTATTTTTAATTCTTTTGAAGAATGTTCATGCTGTTTTTCATAATGGCTGTGCTAATTTACATTCCCTCCAACAGTGTGCAAGAGTTCCCTTTTCTGAACATCCTTACCAACCCTTGTTATCTTTCATCTTTTTGATAATAGCCATTCTTACAGATGTGAAGTGATATCTCATTATAGTTTTAATTTGCCTTTCCCTGATTAGTGATGTTGAGCATTTTTTCCATAGTTAACCATTTGCATATCTTCTTTGAGTAATGGTTATTCATTCCTTTGACTTTTGCTTTTTTTTTTTTTTTTTTTTTGGAGGTAGGGTCTTGCTGTGTCGCCCAGGCTGGAGCGCAGTGATGCCATCATAGCCCACTGCAGCCTTGATCTCCTGGGCTCAAGTGATCCTCCACCTTAGCCTCTGAGTAGCTAAGGCTACAAGTGCATGCTACCATGCCTGGCTATTTTTTTATTTTTCTGTGGAGACAGCCTTGCTATGCTGCGCAAACTCCTGGCCTCAAGTTATCCTTGTGCCTCGGCCTCTCAAAGTGCTAGGATTACAGACATGAGCCACTTCACCTGGCCTGACCATTTGAAAACATTCGGTTATCTGCTTTCTTACTATTGAGTTGAGTTCCCTATATATTTTGGATTTGTGGTTTACAAATATTTTCTCCCATTCCGTGGCTTGTCTCTTCACTCTTTTGTGTCCTTGGCTGTGCAGAAGCTTTTTAGGTTGACGTAATCCCATTTGTCTGTTTTTGCATTTGTTGCTTGTGTTTTGGGGTTTGATCGAAAAAAGTCATTGCCCAGACCAAAGTCATGGAGCTTTACCCCTCTGTTTTTTTCTAGTTGTTTTGCAATTTTGGGTCTTATGTTTTCTGAAGATTTTAGCGGCTGCTATCCTGTTTGTATGAACTGTAGCTAGTTTGCTATAATTTCAGTAAGGCTCAAAAATACACAATTTTCTATTTAGGGACACATGTATATGTGTTAAAACTAAGAAAACTGAGAAAATGATAAATACAGGATAGTGGTTTTCTCTGGAAGTGAGGTAGGCAGGTGGCATAGGGGAGTTTATGCTACCAGTTGGGGATGTCTTAGTTCTTAACTTGGGTGGTGTTTAAGGGTTTTCTTTGTAACACAGAATATATGTCTGTGTTCTTTTGTACATGTTACATAGATTCTATTGTATTAGATTTTTTTTTTTTTTTTTTTTTTT